GGCAAGCCACTCCCACAAAGGAGGCCACACCCACAGAGTAGGTTCCAACAATTTTTGAAACCCACCACTGGTTGCCTAGATGTGGATTGATGATGATGATGTCTCTTCTCTTTCTTTCTCTTCCTTCCTTCAGGTATCCCCTCGTCTACTCCCTGTAGTTTTTCTTCTTCCGCTTCGCCCTCTATTCCTGCTGGAGGGGAGAGGAGGCCCAGACAGACCACGATAACCACAACCACGATACACACAGGGACTAAGTGATCGGGGTCACCCCCATGATTCCACCCACACGGAAGATGTCACAGAGATGGGGGAAAAGACCCATCTCGGTGCCCATATAGGCAGGGAAGGAAACTTTTCTTCCAGGTGATTCCATCCTGCATTGCAAACACATCGAAGCATTAGGGGAATAGAAGGATTTCAACAAAAACACACACACACGCAAAATAAATGGCCATATTTTGTACTGCGATGCTGAAAAAATTGCATCCAGTGTGAACGGAAGTGACTTTCAGGAGGACGGAGAGGAAAACTGGTTCTGAGTCCAGGAATCCAAAGTGTTCTGACTTATGTCGGACCAGTTGTTAGTTCCTCAATGATTTAATTCTCTTCTCAGTGTTAACCTGCTTTGTTTTTTATCATTAACAAAATAGTTCAACTGGGTTATGTTTAGATTAATTTCAAACGTTTTTTTTCTCGTTGTATTTTTGTATTTTCAGCTTTGTTGGGGGCGGGGGACTATTTCTCGTTTTGTTTTGTTTTTCAGAAATAGAGAATACAAAGAAGTTTGCATTAATCTTTCAAATAAAGAAGCCTCTTGCAGCCTGTTTTATATGTACATATATGTACATATATTTTTTTTTCTTAACTCCATAACTCTGGGCTGCAGATTTGTCTGGATCTTGCAATGGCGCTGAAAGCAAATTGTTTTTGCATCCTATTTTGTCAAGAAAATGGAAACAATGCTCCCATTTCCTTCCAGTCCCACAGAAAGGGAAGATTTCATGGGTTGGGTTTAAGAATAAGATTCTGTGTTAATCACAGAAATAATGTTTTATTTCTGTATTCGCACCAGACTCATCTTTATGGGACCCCAAAATGGGGCTTTAAGAATTTCCTTGTGTTTTTCCCCCTTTTCAATTGAAACTGAGGAGAGGGAATGGGGATAAAAAATGTATCATGTCCAAAGACCAGCATATTCCATACAGTGTAAAAAAGGATATGGAAATATAAAATGACAGTATCTAAAGCAAAGAATGAAACGGTGTGGAACTGGGGAAGTTCATAAACGCATCAGAATAGACATATCAGGAAATCAATGTACTGTAAAAGTCTTGAGTGTGATTCTTTTCTAGCAAAATATGGAATCGTTTGTTTTAAATCAAGTATCCTAAGCAAAGGAGCTGGGCGGCTTTCACACAGGCGAAATGTAATTTTTGTCCCCGTGGATATAAGCAATTAGAAAATGTGGATTTTTTTTTTCAAGTGACCCAGTTGTCATATATATTCCTTTAATTTGGTAGGACTAGTAAAACCATGTAACAAAGGAGAATGGCTGTTATATTTTATTTCAATCTGGAGGAAAAAATTCACCGATGCCCCTATTTTTCATAAATCAAATATTTTTTCAATCAAGGCTAAAGTTTTTTTTAATCTATTTTAGTAATGAGGGGTTTGAAAAGTACCCATTTTAAATCTCAGGCTCCCAACGCCTGATCTTCAGGCCTGGTTTTGTTCCATCTTTTGATTGCAGGTAGTTTTAGAATCATTATGTCATTCATCATTAAAAAAAAAGTTTTGAAAAGAATCTCTGGTTATAAAAGAGGGGAAAACAGATTCTATTTTTATCTTTTAAAATAATAATAATAATAAACCAATACATGCCTACTATGGCACTACTCTTATCTATAGAAACTTTTTTTTTTTAAAAAAAGAGAAATTATTTTTTTTCCTTTCTCGATGGGAATAGAATAGAATAACAGAGTTGGAAGGGACCTTGGAGGTCTTCTAGTCCAACCCCTTGAAAACAATATCGTTCTGGTTTTGTGCGAGGTTTTCCTCTTTTTTTTCCCCACCCAAACTGAGGAATGGTGGGAAACAGATAGGTGAAGGTATGGAATTGGGAATTGTTGCTGGAAGAATTAACAACTCGGAGATGTTGACCCCCCCAAAAAATGTGCATGAAACTGCATTGCATGTTTTAATGACTGAGCCTGCTTTTCCCAATTTTTGCCTTTGTATGAAAACACTTCCCGAACCCGTAGGCTTTCTTTCCATCTCTTAAATTTGATTTTAAAAAATAAAAAATAAAACGTATCTCATTCTATATAACTTCTGAGTCATGGCTTACTCACGCTGGTGGAAGAGATAAGCAAGCAAGGATTAAGGATGTCCTTTCTTTCTTTCTTTCTCTGGTTACAGACACTGTAGTTTCTCTGTAAGTGCATCATCTTTTCAGAGAGGTGTCTGTTCTTAATCTGAGCAATCACGGAAAGAAATCTACGTATCTACAGAAAGAAAGGGGCAGGAAAGTCCAATAAATTAGGCAAAATAGCGAAAGGGGTGCCATTTGCATTCCTTGTGATCCGAATAACAATTAGTTAAGGAAGCTGTTTCATCTCTGGTAAACAATCCCACCTTAAATGTTGATGGAGATTCATCATCATTTTCCAAAAAGCAGCTGGCCTTCCTTGTGTGTGTGTTTTTTTTCCCCTTTAAAAGACATTTTTCCCTTCTCATCCAAGAAGCTTCTTCAGTTCTGCCAATCTGAACTGAAGAAGCTTCTTGGATGAGAAGCGAAATGTTTTCAAAGAAAAACAAACGAACAAGAAAATCCAGTTGCCTTTTTTTTTTTTGGAAAAAGCACCTCTGGGGACAGTTCCATCTTCAGCCCTGCAGCGTCACACAACCCGCCAATTTCTTCGTACGTGACGATGCTTTGCATAAATTGGTAGCTTTGAAATTCATCTGTGGCACCTGTGGCCTGCGTGCCATGGGTTTGCCACCACAGGTCTCAGTCCTCGCCATGTTATGCAGGAGGGGATTGTATTCCAATACCAAAAAGGATTGAGGGGAAAAAAACCCTCTTATCTATCTGTGCACTGCATCCATTTATGTTTCGGGGGGAAAGAAGGAAGAGGGAAAGTTCCATTCAACGTTACACAATCCTCTGTCACAGGGTGCTTCCACGGGGATTTCTTGTCAAAATGCCAGTGGGAAGTTTGAAAGCTACAGTTTGAAAGCTGGGGGTGGTGGTGGTATAGATAGATTACGGGCCTGTTTTAAATTTCCCCATGAGTTGCCTGAGGCCCGTTGTCCCATTCTGTGAATTGTGAAAGTGCGCCCTTCCACAGAGGTGTTTACAAATCTCACAAAACCACACTAAAGTTAATGATGCTCAAACGCACTTCGCTTTGATTAAAAGTGATTCAGTTTTGATTTCGGTCACCACGATGTTAAAAAAAAAAAAGATGTGGAGACTTTAGAAAGAGTGCAGAGAAAAGCAACAAAGACGATTAGGGGACTGGAGGCTAAAATATATGAAGAACGATAGCATCAAACAATGGCTAATTTAATGAAAAAGACTAGGGGAGACAGGAGAGCATCTTCCAATATCTCAGGGGCTGCTCCAAAGAAGAGGGAGTCAAGCTATTCTCCAAAGCACTTGAGGGAAGGACAAGGAGCAAAATGGGTGGAAACTAATCAAGGAGAGAAGCAACTTAGAACTAAGGACAAATTTCCTGATAGAACAATTAATCA